CTTGGTGGCAAGCACCTTTACCCACTAAGCCATCTCACTGTCCCTCATTCTTTCTATTTTTAAACAGGAACACCCTGTTACAGTGTTATAGTTGTGGAAGAAAGCACATCTTACTGTCTACTTGCTTCCTTTATGTTTTCCTTTGCAAAGAAAATTTCTGAAGGAAATCATGGTTTAAATGTTTTATACATGATCTGCTCTGATTTGATGGTTTCTGCATCTCTACAGAGCAGATAAACACTGTTTTTTTTTAATTTATTGGAATTTATTGGTATCAACTCTGGTCTACATAATACAGCAAGATGATAGTTCTGTGGCTTTAGATCTTGACATAAATTATCTTTAACCCGGTGTACCCACAATGCAAAGGATGAAGGGAAAAGACTTGTCTCAAAACTATGGACACCAAACCTTCCTTGCTCACTTCCTGAAAATACTATCTGCTAGCATTTTCCACTACAGTTATTATTTTCCTGATTGTAAGTATGAAGACATTCATATGTGGACAAATATCTTGAGGCTAGGCAAATACCCTGCTTCTGCTTAAACTTTTACTTACTATTTTGGGGATTTTAGTCAGATTGTGCTTGTACTAGCTCTGACCATGGTGTTCTTTTTTTAGTGTGTATGTGTGTAAGCCTGCAGTAAGAATAGGTGTATCATGTGAATTCAGGAGCCTGAGGAGGACAGAAGATCCCCTGAAGCTGGAGTTAGTTACAGGTATTTGTGAGCTGGCACATATGTACTGGCAACCAAACCTGAGTCTTCTGCAAGAACAGTAAGCACTCTTAACTGCTGAACCATCTCTCTAGCTCCTGGTTTTTGAGACAGGGCCTCACTGTGTAGCCCAGGCTAGCCTGGACATCACTATGTAGCCCAGGGTGGCCTCAAACTCATGGCAATCCTCCTTCCTCAGCCTCTCAAGTGGTGGGATTATAGGTGTGAACTACCATGCCCAGATAACCATGATGCTCTAATGGTGTTCCTCTCCTCTTAGTTTCTTTTTAATTTATTGATTAGAATTCCTATGCAAAGATATCATGTTCCCTTCTCCTTGATTTCTTGATTTTAAAAGGATTTTACTATTTTTATTTATGTATATGTATGTCCATATGTGTGCTGGTACCTGAAGAGGCCAGGAAAAGGCGTCAGATCCCGTGGATCTGGAGTTACAGGCAGTTGTTAACTGCTCTATGTGGGTGCTGGAAACCTAACTCAGGTCCTTCGGAATAGCAGTGAGGGTTTTTAACCACTGAGCCATCTCTTCAGCTCCTCTTTGATTTATTTTCTTATCTGTGGCTTGAATTATTCCAGCTTTGGCCTTTGGAACCATGTATCCTTTTGGTGTGCCCTATCATTTTTGTTGAACTCATCTTTACTTTCCGGCACTGAGATTTTTACTCCACAAAGCTCATCAGAAGCACTATATAATGAGTATCTTTTGTGAAGTCCTCAGCATGCAATTTATATTAATGTAAAGATGATATTAAAGGTTATTAAAGCAAAGTATCATTCATTACATGTAAATTACAGATGTTAAGTCCAAGTACATGGCGAGAGCCAGTATGGTAGGCTGTAAGTGCTGGAGAAGCAGAGGCTCAAGTACCTTCAATTTTTATCCCCAATATTACTACCACTGAGCAACACAGTGCTGCCTTTTAAATCATGTGAGACCATTTTAAATGTGACAACTCAGTTTACATTTTCCAAATGCATTATCTATTCTGGTAGAAATGGGAGTGTAGTAGGACAAAGACGTGGTATTAAATACAATTGTATTTCTCTAGAAATATTCATGAAATGAATTCATATGCTTTGAAATACTGCATTAGCTATTCTGTTAAAAGATACACTTGTAAGGAGGAGGCAGGATGAGGAATTACACTCGTATTCATGTCAGCGGCTGGACTGGAATCTTGATGTTAACTTCTCTTGTGCTGGTTAGCAAAAGTTTCTCAAATGAAAATGAAAGGACAATAAGAACGATTCAGAAGAACTAAACAATAAGTGAAAGGAATGTTCATTTGTAATTTAGAGAACTGAAGATTAAAAAAATCTTGTGTTTTAAATAGAATGTACACTTGGTTTAGTTAAGGCATTACAATCAGGGTGTAACTCAAGAACTTAGAAAAATTAAGTCTTGCTATCAGTCTTTTATGATAAAATGATAAAGTTGTCTTTGCAGGAAGCACACTCAGATCAAGGAGTAGGGCTAGAGTACTTTGAATCAAGAAGGAAAAGGTAAGGGCTGGAAAGATGGCTTAGTGGTTAAGAGTACTGGATGCTCTTGCAGAGGACCTGGGATCAGTTCCTAGCACCCACATGGTAGCTACCAACCATCTGTAACTCTAGTTCCAGGGGAGCCAATGCCCTCTTCTGGTCTCTGAAGGCATTACATGACATGGGTCTACTTACATGCATACAGGCAAAAAATACTCATAAAGTAAAATTTTTTAAAACAAGGAAAAGGTAGGGATGGGGCACAGTAGTAGAGTATTTGCCCACTTATGAGGTTAAAGCTCTAGCATCACAAAAATAAAGTATTCCTTGAGAATGAGACAGACTGTAATGTATATTATATCGGTAAATTGTCCTGTGCTTTTGAACTCACTGAGAAGCTGACTCTGGAATCATGGTTGTCCCTGCTCCCATTTCAGACCCAGACCTGTCTGTCTTAAACTGTCCTCCAAGAGCCCTTGTCTGGAGATGGGCTGGTCCCCATAACTATGTGGCAGGGGACCAGCCCATGAGTAAACTATTTTTGATAGGTGTTACTATTGTTTAGCCCATGATACAAAAATGATTGTAGTGGGAAAGAGAAGTTAGAAGTTCAGCTTTGGGAAGCTCATCCATGAAGAGAAAGCTCAACTAGGAACCTCAGCTGACTGCTTCAAGTTTTCCAGTTGGTTTCTGATGGGTGTTGAGCATCTGATTTGATGGTATTTTGCTTTCTCTGTCCCTCCCTCCCCCATCTCTCCATTCTTTTCTATGACTTGCTATATACTTAATAAACTCATTCAAAACAAAGTATGGCTATTGTAGATCATTCTTGAGACTATAAAAACAGACCAAGACTTAAAACCTCAGGCAGTCTACCTTCATCCATGTAGGGCTGGCAAAACAATTCAGTGAAAAAGGTAAGATTACGACTGAGACTAAGCTTTTGATTCTATTCACCCTCTTCAGAGTTCCATTGCTAGTTGCTGGTTTAGGTGTATTGGCCTCTGTGATGTCCAGGTAAATCCAACTATGGTAGGCTTCATCAACAGTGTTCAGTGATTTTTGACTCATCACTCTGAGAATGCATTGTCAGTTATCCACCAATTCCCAGCACCCCAGATGCCAGGGTACTCTAAGTCCAGCTCAATTTTTTCCCATGTTGAAATATACCCAGTCACTTTTAGGGGTCTGAATATCTTTGAGAAAGTATTAGGATGGTCCAGTGACTCTGGGCTTAACCAAGAGAGTGGCTTCTGGAATGGGACAGATCTCAGACCAGTTCTGGGGGTATTCAGGGGGTGAACATTCTAGAAACAGTGGGTTAAGCCAGGCTGTGAGTTTCAGGGTTTGTCAAGTGAAATATCATATCCTAAGACTTCATTGCCCTGATTAGACTGTGGATATGCCAAGACATGTAATGAGTGAGGCAGCTGTGTGCATGAGCCTTCTCCCTCTTGATTAGTCTCTTTAGATCCCTGTGAAACACATGGACAGTATCTAGGAGGATAACGTTAACACTCTGTTGTTCCTAACACCCTGACTTTAAGTATCTCCTCTCTTCCCCTCTCCCTCTCCTCCAGAGTCTTACTATATAGCCCAGGCAGGCCTTGAACTCAGAACTCACGGTCCTTCAGTCCTTCTTGCCTCAATCTCACTGCTGAGGTCCCTGACCACTCCCCCCTCCCCCCTTCATGAATCAAAGAGCTATTGATAAGAACATCTTTCTGTAGAAATCCTGGGACAGGACCAGTTGCTAAGCAGTGACCCATTATCACAGCCAGCTCTCCATTGGGCATGGGGTCAGCTTTTATTTGTTGCTTTTGGGCTGACTAGCTCTCACAGCCTCCATTTGCAGGGCCAAGGATCTAATTTCTCTCTTGTCTCACTTTCTTGGCTGTTTTGTCTCGGATTACTTCACTATCTCTTTCTACCACCAGATGGTGGAAAGAGAAAAGGAAATAGGCTGGTAAATGACTGTGGTTGCAGGCAGGTATCTATAGCTGAAAGGTGTGGTGGAGCAGGGACCCAAAAAGGACCTTGTGAGTTGCCCTGGGATTCCTACAGATTCCTATTTTGATTGTAGCGTCCACTCAATTGTTGGGCACCCAGGTGTGAAGGTTAGTATGACACAATGACGCCTGTTGGGGAGGGAGCCAGTCTTTGTCTCTGGACCTGGGAACGTTCCTGGGCAGCAGAATCCTCACCTGTGCCAGGGACCGCCTGGTCTGGGGTTAGGAGGGTCCCTTTGAGAGGTGGTACTGAGCGGTGCACCCGCCCGCCCCTCCACCGCTTCGTTGCATCCTTTTCTTTCTGTTCCTCTAGCCCACCACCTCCTACGCTCCCAACTCGCACCTGGCCTGCCTGCATTCCCACGCTGCACCGAAAAGCCCCTTTCTCTTCCTTTTCCCAACAGCCCCTGGCATGCAGCCTTTTCCCCAACTGCCTAGATCCCCTCCAGGGGTCACCTGTTAAGGACCCAGCAGGTGTCTGGCTCTCCATCTGCAGGTGGCTTCCCCTCCCATAGCCCGTCCTCCACCTATCCTAGTTTCCCACCCCTCAAGGGACCCGCCTCCCTGCTCCTCCTTTTCCACGTGCCCCTCAACTCCGAGGGCCCCTCCCCCACGGACCCCCCAAATCTCCGGTCTCGAGGAGTCTCGCGGCATTTCCTGGGGCGTGAGCCGAGCCACGGCGGATAGGGGGCGGCCGTCTTGGAGCTCGGGTCCCCGGTAGAGCGGGCGTGGAGCAGGGCAGCTGAGCCGGGCCAGGGCCGCAGAGACGCGCCCCAGAGTCTGGCTGGACACGGTTCGGGCCCCGCCCCTCCGGTCCCGCCCCCGCCTGGAGGCCGCGCGTCTCCTGCGGGCGGAGCCGAGGAGCTTCGCTTCGGCGTCGGCGAGGAGGAGGGGAGAGCAGGCGGCCGTAGCTGCCGAGCGCTGTGCTGGGCGGCGCTTTTTTTTTCTTCGTAATTTCCACTCTCAGAGAGCAGGAAACCGGGAGCAGCCGGGCGCAGCGGGGCCGCGATGCAGCAGCAGCAGCAGCAGGAGTCGCCCCAGGGCAGCAGCTGCAGCGGCAGCAGAAGCAGCAACGGGCGGCGCTGAGCCACCACCACCACTGAAGGAGAAACCGGCCCAGCTGCAGCCGCGTCCCGACGCCCGCGCCCCGGATCCCCGCGCCGCTATCTCGGCGCCCCGAACCCCATACCTGGTTCCGCCAACTTTCACGCTGCCTCGGCGGCTCAGCCCGGCTCGGCGCCAATGGGTGAGTGCTAGGGTCCCCCGAACGCTACAGCCCATCTCTGCCTAGGGTCGGCGCGCCCATCCCGGGACCGCAGACCCGGAGAGAGCTCCCCGGAGCGGGGCCTGGCCAGGTGACATCGCGCTGGGTGCCCTCAGCCGCCTCGCGTACCCAGATTCACTCCCACTCGCTTTCGTGTTCCTGCGGAGACCGCGCGCGGTGCGGACGGGCACCCAGGGCAACCTGGGCAGAAGATAGTGGGGGCCGATCCCCAGGCCCTCTGGGTTGAAGGATGCAGGGGGTGTGGTTGGCTTTTTGGGGAGGGCGGGGATAGTTTTATCTTTGCCATTTTCTCACCCAGGCTCACCCTCCTAAGTGCTGGGAGTACAGGTATCTGGACCTGGTGGGTTCCGGCCCTACGCAGGGCTCTTGGGGCTCGCAGAGCCTGTCTGGCCCAGCCTGGGATGAACCTGGAATCTTGTGGTTTCCTGGGGAGGGTTAGATTGCCCTTGCTGCAGGCTGATGGGGGTGGTGGGATAAGGAAACGCCCCAGTACCGGGCCTGGCAGGCTGTCCTAGGGTCACCGCACCCCTCTCCCCAAGCACATATTTGTGCTTTCAGCTCTGTCTCTGCCTCTTTCCCTGGGGTCTGGCTCCCTCTCTAGTACTCAAAGGCTGCTACTTCTAACCTCTAAGTCTGCAGGGCCAAGGAATTGGAAATGGTGATGCAGTCCAAGATTTACCTACCAAACATCATTTCCATGTAGGCAGATCTCCTGGGTCCCATTTGGTATAGACTCGCTAGTATGGGAACTACCTTGCTGCCCAGAGGAGCTGGCACTTTATTGAGCAAGGGATTTGTGATAGATTGTCTGGTCTATCAAACGTTTGGTTTACCCAGGTAATATGTAATACAGCCAGCCTCTATTTTTCATGCTTCTAGCTCATTATCTTTGGGTGTTTCTAGGCCAAGTATAGGCAGTGTGCACAGTATAATAAATCATCATAAAGTGAGACCTTTCTGTATTCAGGTAATAGGATTTGGGTATGCCAGATAGGCAAGCAGTTATCAGATGCTCAGGAGTACAGAAGAAGCCCTGGAGGAGAGTTAACCCAGTCAATTGTTGATCAGCAAAGTTCAAATCCCATTTGTGATCATTTGCCAAAATGGTTTCGTTTTCCAAAGTGGTAGTGTTCTAGTGGCCTTTCAACTGTGTCACTTGTTTCTTTCACACCAGCCTAAATCAGTTCCTTTCTCATATGACTTTTTCATAGCGGTATTACCAATTATAATGTGGTTAATATTTATCTCCCCTACTGGAGGCTCAGTGAACATGGGGGCAGCATTGTGTTGTGTGGTACTGCTTGGAACTATTTACCTTGATGCCTGGCACCAAGCAGGCTCTAAATCAACGTTGAATGAATGAATGAATGTATGAATGAATGGCATGAAATGCTGCTACTCCATGAGAAACAAAGCACTTAACTCACATTTTTGTTTTGCTTTTACCTGTGATATGATAATTTAGTTCACTGACAAAAGTATATACTTTTTAAAACTTACAGGTCACTTTAGAAGTGTATTGTTTTTTCCAGAGGTAACAGGAAATATCAGGATCACCTTTCATTTTTAGTGGGTTACTGAAAGAGTTACATACAAAAAGAAGTACAGTTCAAATGTCCTTGCGCATGGCCAACCTGTTTTTTGTAGATCCCAACAGGAGGAGGGATGGTGTCTCCTTTAAGAAGCAGCAGACCTGTTTATCATTGAGATCTAAACTGTTTTCATTCTTTAGACTCTCTTAGGAAAATGAGAGAGGGCTTCTGCAATTTATAGTCCCTTTCAGTATCATTTTTAAGTTGTAACCTTTATGGAAGTGGGGGCAGACATCAATTATTAATTTATTTCAGAGAGTGCTAAGATGAAAATGAATGTCATTTAATTCATTATAATGTGTGTATGTGGGATTTAAGGTGCTTGTAGTAGTTCATTGGTAAAGATCAGTCCCTGCTCCCTAATGTATCCTCAGTGATATATTTGCAACTAAATACAGTTATTTAATAGTTGAATCAGTATGTTTTACCATCAGAAGACCTAGTAGTGCTAGGGTTGTGTATACACACAAAAGTACAGCCCTTTCCCCGAGTCTCTCTGGTTTTCATGAGATTTATCCAGTTTATCAGTTCGCTACACTTGTAGTCTTGCTTGGCCTGATAATGATTTTTCTGCTGATGGAAAGCACAATAAACTATATCATGTAGCCTTTGATATGAACACTAACTGAAAATCGTGAAATCCCTAGCCCTGAAATGAAGTTGCTTGGCTGTGAAATGGTCTCTTACAGCCTGCAGTGCCAGACACAGGGAAAACCTCTTATAATCCAGCAGTGCACATACTGTGACCCAAATCTTAGAGTTGTGAAGGGTTTGAAAGTCAAACAAATGATTTCTGGGCAAGAATTTCCAGAATAGCAACAGTTTGGGCAGTTTGTGACAATGTTCTATCAGTGGTAGACAATGCTAATCTAAAGCTAAAATGAATCCCATGTGATGGCTTCCATAAACAAGCCTTGAGTTAAAAAAATGGAAGGGTTCTCACCTTTATTATGCATGCCCTTTACCCCTTTATATCCAGCATGGTCTGAGCAAAACCTTGCTGGTTGCACAGACCTCGGTTGTTTGCTGTTTTGCTCCTTCAGCTCCTTTTGTATTAACGATATTCTTTCATCAAGGTTGGTGTTTGTAATTTTTTTAAAGTATGTGGCATACAATGGTCAGTAATTTGCCCATCCACCCAATATTTATTGACCTCCTGTGTTGTGCCAGGAACAGGTGTATCATATGCATAGTCCTGTCAATGTGGACTTCTCAAACTAGTAGAGGACTTGAGTGCAATGGTCATGGCAGTGTGTAACTAAAAGCTATATAGTAGGCTCATGAAAGGAGAGAGGGGAATCTGGTGTGGGCTGGAGCATGCTGAGGATGATGTCTTTGAGGAGATTGTGAGTCATCACTGTCCTCCAGTCACCTGCTCTCCTCCGGACCACACCTGGAGTTCAACACACTGAGTTTTCTTCCTACTTCAGGCAGAACACACACCATGGGGACTATGGGGTAACTGGGCAAAAGGGTGTGAGAGGCTAACTTAAGGGATTTGTAACTGTGTCAGGTGGTTTGGAGAGTGTTTAAGGGAGCCAGGCACTGCTCTGGGTTGGATGCTGCCAGGGATACTTCTGTGATTGAGCGTTACAACAAATGTTCTCTAGAAGTGGGGAAAACTGGAGCTTGGTGAAATCTAGGGTTGGTAGAAAAGCAGCAGGCACTCAGTAAGATTGGAGGATGTATGGTCAGTTCTGTGGTTTGGACAATGCTCATGTTTTGTCTTTGTTCAAACATGATTATGAGGTGGCTTTGTTTGTGTCTTGTCCTGTTCTGGTCACATGGTGGGCCTTGCCTGATGCTGGTGCTCTGGGGAATAGTGTTTCTCTTCAACAGCACACTCAAACCTGGCTGTGAGCATCCATCCAGCTTCCAGACAGGAGGATCCCTTTTCTGTTTCTCAGAGTTAACTCAGATGAGAAGGCTCAGTGACAGGAGGTAGTGGGTAAGGAAGAGACTTTAAAAAAAAAATTATTTTTTTCCAGACAGGAGGATCCCTTTTCTGTTTCTCAGAGTTAACTCAGATGAGAAGGCTCAGTGACAGGAGGTAGTGGGTAAGGAAGAGACTTTAAAAAAAATTATTTTTATTTTGTGTGTATGTGTGTATTGCCTGCATGTAGGTAAGTGCACCTGTGTCGTGTAATGCCCGCGGAGGTCAGAAGAAGCTGTCAGATCCTCTGGGACTGCATTTACAGACAGTTGTTAGCTGCCATGTGGGTGCTGCGATTCGAACCCGGGTCTTCTGCAAGAACAACCAGTATTCTTAACCGCTGAGCCATCTCTCCAGCACGGGGAGACTTTTTCGGGTATATTCTGTGGCTACTTCTTTAGTACCATCTGTCTCTGGTGTTGGACTTTTGTTCAACATTAACCAAAATGAGCAACTGAAAAGCTATACCAGGGGAAGACATAGAGTAACACAGAACAAGCTGCTGAGGAGAACAAAGAAATCAAGCTATGCCTGGGAAAGATGCAGCACAGGGAAGTACCGGAAACCTTATAGTGTTAGAAGTGAGCAATTAATACAGTGGTTTTCAGAGTGTGGTGCCCTGGGATCCCTTGAGAGACAGAGATTCTTTGGTACCATCAGCAAACCTACTGAATCAGGAATTCTGGGGGGTGATATCCAGCAATCAGCATTATAATAAGCCCTCCAACATTATAAAAAGCCCTTCTTTTAATTTTTAAATGTTGCTATTATTTATTTATGTGCATGCCATGGCACATTGTGGAGATCAGAGGACAACTTGTGGGAGTCAGTTCCCTCCTTCCATCTTGTGGGTCTTGGGATTGAGCTCAGGCAGTCATGCTTGGCAACAAGTGCTTTTATATGCTCAGCCATCTTGCAGGCCCTGGTACTGGTGCATGGTCAAGTGTGCAAACCCCTTGCCTTTCAGAGGAGTGCTTCTGGCTCATTGGCATACACAAGGCATTCTGTTCATAACAAGATGTTCTGGACATTAGGATGTGGACATCCGGGCTGTGAGGAAGCAGCATTATTCTTCCTGCCACACTTATCTTAAGTGGATTTGGCTTTTCCTGGTTTCTCCTGGATAACTGAACATTCATAATTAATCATCTTCCTCCTTGAAGATTCTATCTTTGGTTTTAACCTGAGTTTTAAAAGCTTGTTAATAAAGCCATCTGCTATAATTTTAATATGTCCCCTAAAAGTTCATGTATTAAAAACAATCCCCAAATTAATGCTAATAGTATTTGGAAGTGGAGCTTTTAGGACACAAGTGGGAGTTGATGAGGTTATGATGGTGAGACTCCATGATGGAATTAGTGACTTTATTTATTTTTTTATATTTTATTTTTAAAAAACATTTTATTTATTATTTTTATTTTATGTGTATGAGTGTA